TGTATTTGGGGAAGGCAATGAACTTTGAAAACCAAAGCAAACAAAACCAGACCAAACAAAGCAAAATCCACAAAAACCTTTGGTTGGCAGGAAGGCAGGATATTAACTTGGAATCAATAAACACAAGTTTCTTACTTGAAATGTGTTTAAAATTTGTGAAGCAGGTTGGAAACCTGCCCAGATTGTCTTCTAGAAAAGCTTATTTTATAAGTGTAACCCAAATATGAGTAGGAAGTCCTCATAGCCTGGAATGACCTTTACCTCCTCCTACTTCACATATTTAATCTGCTTTATAGATTCAGCTCAGGCTACCTCCTTTAGGCCTTTTTCCTAACTTCTCTCTCTCCTCTTGCTTCCTCTTTCCATCCTCTCTCTCCTCCTCCCCCTCGATTTCTCCCTCCTCTATTTAATAGGTTAGGCATCTTTCTTGATGTACTTATACAGTCATGTGTGCTTAATGATGGGGCTATATTCTGATATATGTGTTGTTAGGTGATGTCATCATTGTGCAAACATCATAGAGTGTACTTACACAAATCTAGAAAAGGTACAGTAAAAATATGGCATGAGAGATTAAAATGATATGCCTTTGGAGTGCACTTACTATGAATGGAGCTTACAGAACTGGAAGTTGCTCTGGGTGAGTGAATGAATGAGTGGTGAATGAATGTGAAGGCCTAGGCCATTACTCTACACTACTATAGACTTCATAAACATTGTCCCACAAGCCTTCTGCCTGCTTCCTCTGACAGGGTTGGGAATAGAACACTGAAGCTGTCTGTGCTACTCCATGAATAGGGATATGGACTGGATACATTAGAAATTTTGAGGAGAAACTGACTGGTTAAGGTGTATTGCTCTTATGTGCTATTGAGTTGGCTCTGACTGCTCGTGACCCTATAAATGAGTGATGTCCACAATGTCTTGTCCTCAGCAGCCCTGCTCAGCTCCTGCAGACTCATGCCTACAGCTTCTTTTATGGAGTCAATCCATCTCATATTTGATCTTCCTCTTTTCCTGCTGCCTTCTGTTTTTCCCAGCATCACTGTCTTTTCCAAAGAACTCTGCCTTCTCATGATGTGCCTGAAGTAGGACAACTTTAGTTTGGTCAGTTTTGCCTCCAGGGATGTTACAGGGTTTAATTTGCTCTAGGACCCACTTTTTCATTTTTCTGAAAGTCCAGGGTATCTGTACAACTCTCCTCCAACACCGCATTTGAAATGAATCAAGTTTTTCCTATCAACCTTCTTCCCTGTTCAACTTTCACATCCGTACATAGTAATAGGGAATATGAGGATGTGGAGGATCTCAGTCTTGGTCTCTAATGACACATCTTTACTCTTAGTGATCTTTCCTAATTCTTCCTTTGCTGTCCTTCCAAGTCTCAGCCTTGTCCTGATTTCCTGGCTGCAGTCTCCATTTGAATTGATGACAGAACCAAGGTAAGCAAAAATATTTAATAATTTTTATGTCAATCATATATGTTAAAGTTGTGTGATTCTTTTGTAGTTATGATGTATGTCTTCTTGATGTTCAAATGCAGTCCTTCTTTGGCACTTCTTTCATGTTGATGAGAAGTTGTTTCAAATCATTGCTACTTTCTGCCAGTAAGATGGTATCATCTGCATATCTTAAGTTATCAGTAAGGCATAGATCACTATAATAGTGATTGTCAGGAGGGAATCAAAGGTTGTCTGAGGGTCAGTAGGAATAAGAAAATCAAAATGGAGAGATAAAGGAACACAGGGGACTGTCAAGGCCATGTAGTTTTGGCTGTTGTATATTGTCCTGAACCACAAATCCTTCAGTTTTTTTGCAGGAAATTCAGCGCTCTCATAATCTTATGTGACCACCATCATATATGTGGTCTGTCATTGAGCAAACTGTTGTCATGTGGTGCTTGACTGTATTCCACCTCTATAATGATAAAAGCATAATATGCTAATTAGACCAGACGTCCTTCTGGACAAAGCCGGGGCTGTGAGGGAAGCCCGGGTCCCGGGTGCCAGAGGGAAGTCGGTGCCAGCAGCTGGGGGAAGGAAGGCCTACTTTTGCGCGAATTCATTCATCGGGCCTCTAGTTGTTTAATAATCACTATTTCAAGTATTTGTCTTTGACATTAAAGATGATAAGCCCCTGAGAGCAAGGATTTTGTTTTCTTTATAGTTCATTTCCCCAGCCCCTAGCATAATGAGTGGCACAGAGAAAACATTTAATAAATGTTAGTTGAATAAATGGATGGGTAAATTAATTGCCAATTAAATTACATGTGGAATACCTCTTGACTACGAGACTATTCAACATTGTTTATTCATTCACTAATCAGCGCTTTACTGAGCACCTATTATGAGCCAGGTGTTCTGCTAGTGGTGGTTATGTAAACTTCCTCACTCTTAAGGGAGACTACATACACATTTGCATGCAGGATGCAGGACATTCTTAAAGAATGAAAAAGCTATTGAGAGACCCTTATTCCCCAAAACCCTGTATTATTGCAACTAGACATTTAAAAATAATTAATTGAAATAATGTGCATACCTACTCTGTAAAGGTTGTTGCCGCAGGCACTGGAGTAACTTTACAGTCAGCATAGTGGAGCATCTGCTCAGGGACTGCAGTATTTATAAATTAAAATGAGTATCTATATATGTGTATGTGTGTGTTTGTGTGTGTGTAAGTGTATGGTTAATTCTTTATTTTCCATGACTCACTTTTGATCCCATTTTCTTTTCTCACTTGTCATCTATATGAGTCACATCTCTCCACAGTCAGCTGAGAGCCAACCATGTTTAATAATAGCCTAAGAAAAATACATGTAGGAAGATAAACCTGCTGATGGCAAAAAGATAACCACTATGAGTTCAGAGCCCAGTATAAAATGATTTTTGAATATGCCCTCTTTTGGTTCCTGATTATCTCTACATGCAAAGATCACTGATCAGTGACAATTTACTTAGCAATAGTTTTGACCATTGATATAGAAACATAATAGCTAATAAGAATGAATAACACATTTTTAAAAACTCAAGCTCTTACTTTGAAAATAAATGGCTACTATTTTCATAGCAATAAGTGGTTGGAGGCTAAATGTCTTACTTTTGACATTATCTGCTTACAATTTGTCACCAATACCTTAGCTATCTATTAAATTGTAAAATACATGGTTGTGCATCCTGGGGTTTAATAATGGCATGGCATGCGGTGATGGCAGTAACTAATAACTAAAGAGAAATAAGCAAATGAACCAGTTTGGGAGGGAGCACAGTGTGGATTAGAATTTCTAATAGGTAAAATTGATTTGTGATTTTATAGCTGAATAAAAGGCTGTTAGTATTTTTAACAACTATATTCCAATAGAAATATGGCCCATGTATTTTGTACTATTTGTTCTAAAAAAACTATCAGAGACATCTATTCTTTTCTCTTTTAGCATACTAAATCTAATATTTATCTTTGGAGGCATGGACCTGAAAAGTTTGTAGAACTATTTTCACAGCATCCAGTTCATCTCCATTATAGCCACAGACCTTCACATGTCACCGTATCTTCCAACATAGGAAATAATGTGGACCACAATCTAATATTTCTCATCATGTGAAATGCAGCACAACTGAGCATAAGTTCAAGCCACCAAAGATATGGGATTACATCTCAATTTTCTGGAACTAGTTTTTGGAGAGACTGCTCAACCATATGAGGCAGTATACACTGAATACTAAATTGAACTCACACTCCTGTAAAATTGAAGCCAATGCCTCAATGTACTCAGTGAAAGGGGGAAACACACATAGGTACACTGTTGGGGAGCTGGAGCATTTCACAAGTGGAGCATATATCATTACTTGCTTAAGTAGTATTTACAAATGCAGAGGGCCTGCCTTACATAAAAATAGATTGTGCAGCCATTATGGATTATTACTTGACTTGCCACAAAATGTCTATGTGTCACTGATATCCACCCCACACTTCTCCGTCAACCTCCCACAGTTACCAGAGTGTCCACCAAGTTGGAGGATTCCAGTGATCTTTCTCTAGGTAATTATGTCACTTGAAAATAGTAGTGTATCAGCCATTATGGTAAATTAAGGCATAACAAAGATTCATGTATCTCATTTGCTGCACCGTAAT